AGTACACATGGATGTGCATGCATAATCTACTTCACTGCAGGAACAACATTTCCCACATGGAAAAGTGCACTTTAGAAACAGCAATTCATATTGCAACATTGCAAACACATTAGGCTCTCGCAGAGGCGTAAAAATGAAGCGCGGGGGATGTGGATGGGGAGGGCGTGTTAAACCTAAGAACATTGCATAAAATCGAATAACACAACAGCTGACAGAGTGCTGATGCAGTAATGCTAAATAAGGATTCAGTCGATGGGTGGGTTTGTGTTTTGGTGGGCGTGGTGGTTTCCAAACTTTTTCTCCAGGGGACGTCATTTGCAGATAGAAAATAAAAATATTTGGGTTGGTGAAGCTCTACATGGGAAATCTATCATTTAAAGCGATTAGTTTCTGATCTATCATTTAAAGCGATTAGTTTCTGATCTATCATTTAAAGCGATTAGTTTCTGATCTATCATTTAAAGCGATTAGTTTCTGAACTCAGGCTCTAATGTCAAATATTTGGAGTAGCCACCCCTCATTTCTTTACATTTTGTTAGGGAAATGGGAAATAGATGCAGAAATTGTCTAAACAAATATAGAAATAGAGCTTGAACTCTTTTAGACAAGCTTTCTCATAATTACTTTTGTCTTCAAGAATAGTTTCCAGGCTTCTTGTTAAAGCGCTGCTTTGGATGCTGACATGGCAGAGCCTCCACTGTGTTTACAAAAGGCTGTAGACACTCTTTGCATCAGACCTGTTGCCACTGAGACTATTTCTGATGAGTCTTCAGTGAACTGTACATGAGTAAACTGGAGTGTCAGATGCATCTTTCAGGTCGTGCGTCAGGTCTTTGTTGGATTTTTTCCCAATTTGTCAAGGACATAACTTCCAGAGCTGTAGAGAGTTTTTTTAGACCTGCCACTTCTTGTTTTGTCCTCCACTGCCCTGTTTCCTCAAAATTTTAAAGACACGCTCCACAGCATGCTGAGTTATGCCAAGTTTTCGATTAATAGCTCTTTAGGAATCACCTTTTGTTACAAAAATCCTATTTTAAGTCTGCCAAACTGGTTCAGCTAAAGAAACGGGAACAAAGGATGAGCTTTTGTGACAGGATGCTAGCAACAAAGTGTCTAACAACTCAATTCAATATTCATTTTTTGCTAAGTTGTGTGTCATGTGTAGACACAACACCGGCTGATCCTTGAGTTAGGTGTTTTTTAATACTTGAATGATTCATGCAGTAGGTAAAAAATATTCCTCTGAAAATGGCCAATGTCTAAAGAAAATCTTTAAAACACCTCCATCCTGGAGAGCTATTGTTCAAGAGCACTTTAAAAAATTACACGTCTTGTTCCTTGGAAAGTGCACATTTACATTGACTTCATTCATGGGAAAATACTGTACTTTTTGCTTTGCTACACTTACTACTTGGCAGCCTTTATGTGAGGTAAACAAAACATGGTCAAAGACAGAATGATTCAACTATCAGAAAGTTAGTTGGCAACTGATTCCTCTTTAGGTTTAGACTATTTGATAAAACACGAGTTTTTAGATGTTACGTTGTTCGTTTCTTTGCAGCGGAAGCTTCTACTTCTGATAGTTTAGGTAAACTTCCTAATCACATTTCTAGATACATAAGAAACACTTTCAGTAGCTTTATTTTCAGCTGAGCTTTTAAAATGATTGACTTTATATGATTTTGTACTTTGTTGTTAATACTTCTATAGCATCTGATAACCTCTTTGCCACTGCCAGATTTCCCTGTGTGAATTTACGAATCACTGAAAATTTACCAGTCAGTAGCTGTATTTTTCCACCTGTTAAAGTAATGTTTCTGACTTTGGAGAAGCTTTTCTCAAAAGAGTTTCCAAAACTGCCAGTTAAGCAGATAATCAAGTTAAATTATCTGCTTAACCCCTCCCCCCCTCCCCCCAAACGTTCTCTTGTTTCAGCTCGTCTAGTGTGACAATTTGCTGGTTTTCGTTTGTATTACATCACTGTCAGTGTTTGCAAGCATTGTACAAAATCTCTGCATTTAATAATGGCAAAAAGGCTAATTCAGCACCAATAAACGATACCAGATTATTTAGCGATATAGTGAAGACTTAATGATGTAAAATCTGAAGTAACACAATGTCACGTAGAAAAATGCGCATTTAAATCCATCCATCTCCATCAATCCTAACTGCAAAGACACTAAAGTTCAGGTGAAACTGGACATACACACTGAACATATCACCAGTGCATCACATGACTAACATCTACACCCAAACCAGTTTAGAATCACCAGTTAACCTAACATGCATGCCTTTGGACATCTGCACTCAGCACAGTGCCTGCGGATGACCAGGTTCAATCTCAAACCTTCTTGAAGTGAAGTGAATGTGCTAACTGTTGTATCACCCCAATTTAATCAACTATCAAAATATTGGCAATAGTAAAATTTTACTTAAAATTTTACTTAAATTTTACGACATAAACTTGTCCAGGAAACTGGACAAGTTTATGTCGTTCCTAATGCACCTGACGTAGCACCTCACTGCTAATAAAAAAGTCAACCTTCAATCAGGATTTTCAATTTGGGGCATTTAACCTTGATTTAGTCCTGATATTTAAATGTTTAAGGATTCAATCTGGAGACTGTTTCAGTTTATCTTCCTTAAACAAAAAATAAACCGAAAGAAAACAATCAGTTTGTTTTTTTCACAAGTGTATTGAGTAGCAGGCAGCACACGGACAGAGAAAATCAGAAAGAAAAACACATTTTAACAGCTCTCTCCGGTCTCTCTGTGTTCTGTGTGCTTGTGTGTACTTGCGATTACCATCAGCAAGACAGATTCAGAATTAATTCAGCCGTCTACACATGTGGATGTGTACGTTTTTGAAGGCATATATGTCAATCTGCAGGAACAAAAAAAGCCACAACTGGCACAAAAAACAGCAACAACTGACACAAAAGAGCCTCAGTCAAGGAGGGATGGGAGCAGCTGTTGTGGTGGATGTTGAAGTATAACAGTGTGAACTGGATTTAAATAGTGAGACAAAGTCAGTTCCAGGGACTGGTTACTCCCAAAGGGAATGTGATGAATTAGAGGACAGACCTTCTAATCAACTTGTATATTTACAGAGCAGGTCTAGTGAGTAAGACTGCGGTGACTTGATAATGTTTTCTGACTCATCAAAGTGTTCCAGCTTCTACTTCAGTCAGCGTGAATATGTGGCGAATTGCAATAATCAGCTGTGAAGAAACAACTGCCTTAATAAAGTTTTCTAGGTCAACAAAGGAGGAAATGTCTTTTATAGCAAAAAGAGAGCTATGTGGGGTGAAAAATGTTTTGGATATTGACGTGACTGTCAGAGGGGACTTGATCAAAGATGTCTGAGCAGCCTGCCTGTGTGTTAAATATGCATCTGCTGACAATTAAAGGAATGGAAAGAAGGCCTTGCTTTAGAGCTAAAATAATCACTTGAGCTCAGGAAACAGCGGTTCCTCAGAGTCATTTTAAGCAGAGAAAAGAGATTTAAACTTCTTGAATCCATGTTTATAATATACAGATGTGTTGCTGTAACATTGCAGCAAGGATATATATACATAAAGGTAGTCTCAGCAAACTGGTTTCCTGTGAATGGGAACAATAACCGCGTGGCTGATGCAGGACTAATTTAATACCTCTACCTAAATAGAAACATGCTGTGTACAAAGAATGTCTCTTTACATCAAAACTAAATTGTTACACCGGTCGGCAGCTGCATAAGCAAATGTTGAAAAAAAGCTCTGTTTATGGATTTATTTATTCGCTCTGTATTTTAGCAGAAATGTCCAATGGCCAAAAAAAAGAGGAAGAAGAAGAAAAAAATGGGTTTGATACTTTCATACCAACGTATGATTTTCTTTCTAATTTATACACAGCTTCTGGGAACCATCTGCAGGGGAAATGAAACAGCTTCTGTTGTACGGTGAAATATGATAATGATGCCTTTCTACCATCTCTTATGAAGAAAGGTTTACAATGAGAGATCTCAAGGCAGTGACACATTTTACTGTTGGGCTATTTTAATGACTGATCCTCTCCTGGGGTTTGTAGCTGCTAAATATACCAACAAAGCTGATGAAGATTCTGTTTGCGAGATGCAAGAGGTAAGAAGTGATGTTTTATCAAAGTGTAATGCACTATTTCATAAACAAAATGAGGCTACTTCTTGAGTTTGAGACTAAATAGACTGGCAACAAAGTGAAGAAATAAGGTCAGATGAAAACAGCTGGATCAGCTTTTACAGTTCAGCTGAAGGCATTTTTAAAATCACCCTCTTGTGCAAAGGTAAGAAACTCCATTAACATGATTAAACATGGCGTTGTTTAGGATTCGAGAAAATGCTTGGGTGGTGTTTCTTTTAAGGTGAAGCTTTTCCCATTTAGGTGAATTTAAAAAGAAACAGACAGAAACACATCAGGCACATGAAAGCCGTCTGGCATGCAATGGAGGTCCATGCTGCAGGAAGTGAAAATTTGTGGCAAAGACATGAGTACTGAAGCACAGTAATGCAACAATGCTCCGAGGCATGGTCATAAAACTGTCATGTTGGAGCATCTCGGGCTAATAATCATTCATCCACTCAACCCTGTGAGGAGTTCCTTAATCTTCCCAATATCTATAATGAACTGTTAATGCGGCTTCAATAGCTGATGATTAGGCCTACAACAGCACCAGTGCAACAACCTCTCCCATCATTCACACACTCACAGGGCTGCAGAAAGTCTTTGATTCTTTGAAAGAAAAAAAAAAGATGGCAAAGAAACAAGCACACATTTCACACGTTTCACAATGTTCATGCATTAAATGCACACAATACTTAAATCTGACACTAAATGAGCAGCAATGACTTTAAAATCAACCTGTAACAGTGTAAAAGAAGGAAGAAAAAGTGTGCAGAAATACAGCAGATTAGACATAAAACTGATAAAACATTCTTTGATTAAAACAAAAACCAAAAAAACAACAGAGTGCATCAGCATTACCTGTATCTCCCTTGCATGGTAGATGATAATCAGCCCCAGGAGAATGATTGTAGAAAGGCTTATCAGGCATTTTAGAGCTAATGAATATAGGGATTCCTGCAAAAGAGCAAGGACAGTAAAGTCAAAGAAGACACAACGACATGACAGAAGATCTTGTCTTACATGCTGGAGTAACTCCTACTAATGTGCCAAAATAAATAAATAAGTAAGTAAAAACTGCACGATTTAGCTTTTTAGGACACAGTGCAACAAATTCTAACATTGCAGCTTCTTCTCCCATTCATTGTTTTTTTTGGAGGTGATGGTGGTGGGGGGTCCCCTTCATGGCTGGACAGCTGTGGGCCTTTTGGCCTGCGTGCCTGGGACCTGCCTGAGAACACTTTATCCTACCACAAGTTGTTTAACGTTAAAAACACTTGTTTCGTGAGTCACCTGTCCCCTAAATCAACTCTAGCCTACATGGGACTGCGAGGCACGGACTTTGAGTGGGCTATACGCACCTTTCCATACGCTCCCCATGAGAGTTCAGTCTCTATAACCATAACAACGATCCCAAACATCCCAAAGATTAAAGCATAGTCGCTGAGCCGTTTCCTTTTCTCAAACAAGGCCCTCCTGTGCCCCAGCTTCTCCCCAATGTTCTGGTTCTTCTTTTTACCCGATTTGGCCCCGCTGTGGCTGCAGCCTCCCCCTCCGTCTCCCGATGCGTAAGGCATCAGGGTGCTTGAATTATTCTCCGGCTTGGATACTAAAGTGTCCGACGCATCTGCGGCGGAGATGGGCTGCAAAGGCTGGGACTCGGAATCAAACTCGTGTATGTTTCTGCGGGACGAGCTCAAGTTGCTCAGCGGCCGCATTACGCCGCCGTTGTATCTGCAGCTGCTCATGGCTATTTCATTGTAGGAGTTACTGTCTTTGTGGCTGCTGCCCAGGCTGCCCCGCTGCCTATCGCGGCAATGCTGCTGCTGCTGCTGATGGTGAGGATGATGATGATGATGTCTGGATGAACTACCATGACTAGAAGGTGTGAACTCGCAGACGCTGTACTGGCAGCCTTGCCTCGAAGACGTTTCCGAAGGTGCCCTTAAAGTTCCCACAGTGGCCGGCGACGTCCCGCGAAAGACGAGGCTTTTTCTCGCATCACAGGTGCAATTATTGCAGGTGCAGCATTGGTCGTGCTGCTTGCCGAGGCGATCCTCGCGTCCGCAGTAGTGCTGGTACTTACAGTGCTGGAGCTGCTGCTCTGGGAAGAAATCGTTCTGCAGCTGTAATGGGGTTTCCATGTCAGTGCTGCTTTTTAAAGCAGCGACCAGGCGCCACAGAGCCCCCGACAAAGGGCGTCACGGTCCTTACGGGAGGACAGAGCTGCTGCATGAATAGATCCATTTCGGCTCCGGTAGATGTGTGAGAGGAGCCTCCGATTGGGCAGAGGGGACCAAAACAACTGTCTCGACGTCATGAAAAGGTTGCAACCACAGGAACTGAAGCCCAGCCTCGTTTCATTCTCATCAATATAAGCGAGTGAATTGTTGCTTCCCCCCACCTGCACTGTCACACCTTTACAAAGACACACAGGGAAAACTTACTCAAGGTGTGTGTGTTTTTTATTTCTCATTATTTCTATTGATTTGTGAAACGTCCCTTGATCAGTGCAGCTCTGCTTTGCTGAGACACCGCCACTCCCACAGGTGCATTTTAGCTTTTGCCCCCAACAACACATCAGCACCTCCTATTAATAAAACCCGGACTGATTTCCAATTTCTTGACTTGAGAGGAAACACAAGTAGCTCGCTGTCACCCGTGATTTACAACAAGGTGCTGATTTCATTCAGCTCATTGGCCGTTGAGCGCGTGACGCCTTCGCGAGCAACGGCCCTGTGTCTCCGCAGCCAGATTGATGTGAGCGCTGGTGGCTGCCTTATTAATGGAGTCCAAGAGTTATATCACCCCGAGGAAATACAACCAGCTGCCCGAGATTGAGCAGCTGTGGCATAAAACAAAGACCGAAGCCCAATCATCCACACATCGCGGCGTAACAGCAGCAGCAGCAAATTTAGTCACAGGGCCGTTTGGCGCTATTGGAGTTATGTTGTTGTGTTTGCGGTGGGATTTGAGTGCGAGCTGCGCAGTTTGATTGCTCGGAATGATTTCTTTGCTTCATCTGCAGTGAAGTCGTAAAGTTGCCCTTCTATGCAATATGTAAATTAAGCATAAAGCGTAGATCCAGAAACAACAAAACAGCTCCAAACGGGCGCAAAAGTTCGAACTGCACGAGAGTGCGTGGTAAAGTATTAAGGTGCACGTGTTTTCCTACAGTTATCTAAGTGGAGCTGTTTACTGGAGCTCACAGACAAAAAAATTGAGTCTTCAAAGTCAGAAACTTCGACTCCGTGGACTGCTCCACTCACCCATTGATCACTACCAACCCCTCAATAAAACAATCCTTCAGCACAGGATCGCAATGCGCACTTACTCCTGATTGGCTGATGCACACGCCACGTGACATCTCTCGCCTTCACGAGCCGGAAGCTTCTTCTTCTCTCTCTCTCTCTCCCTCCCTCTCTCTCTCTGTGAAGTCCGGCGAATGAGAGCCGTGCTCGTTAATTCAAGCCACAAATCGCACACAATCTATGGGAGTCTATGGACTCTTTTCTGTAAGGCAGATAAAACAGCCTTCATTGAAGCTGAATGGTCATTTCTTCCCCCCACTTTAAATAGAAAGCATTGTCAGATATCTTAGCCTTCGTTTCTCTGCAAAACGGGCAGAGCATTTTAGTGCTTAAAAGCATTTTGAGCGGTGTTTTGAAATTACACCGTAAGAACAGCGAAATGTTGTCCTCTTATGTAATTTAAAAATGTGTTTATTTTACAATGTCATAACACTCTATTTTTGTAATAAATAAAAAAAAAAAATAGAAGCTCTAATTGTAAGGGAATTCCAGATCTTAGGAAAAAAACCACAAGATCCAGAACAATCATATGCACAATAGTATGGGAAAAACAGGAAGTTATAAAATCAGATATTTTCGGTAATTTATATTTAGTTAAAATAGTATTTTAAAACTGCTAAAGCCTGGCTAACCCACCCAGGTACAGATTTATGATCGAGTTACTCACTTCAGAGGAACTAGTTATTGCGCCTTCTAGTGGTTGCACAGAAGGGGAGAGAGAGATTTCAGTGGACAAGGAGACAGGAAGCACATATTCTAATGAGATGCTGGCAGCTGTGATGGTGTACATTTTATTCTTTCAAAATGGCGTGTACAAACAAGGAAAAATAAAGATGAATGTGAATTCTAAGCTAGAGAATAAACTCAGATAAATCGTTTTATATTCATGCCTCTTTGCTCTTTTGCTTTCTCCTGTTAAATAATGTACATCCAGTTATATGAAACTAAAGTGTTTCACAGGACCGTATGGAGTCCCATGGAAAACTTTGGGTCTTTATGGAATAACATAGCTTGAAATAATGGTTTTCGTTTGACTTTGTCAGTCTGTCACATCATTAGGGATGAATTTGGGTCCACTCTTCTCTACAGCATTGCTTCTGTTCATTGAGATTTGTGGGCTTTATCTATGCACAGCTCTCTTAAGATCCAGCTGCAGCATTTCAGTCAGTCACCTTTGACTATAGAATACTTTGATATACAGAAGAGTTCATAGTCGACTCAATGTCTGCAAGGGGTCCAGGTGCTGATATGTGCTAATATAGTGTATTTGGTTTTCTCCAAATATGGTGTTGTGCATTGTTGCTAAACATCTCCATTTTGGTCCCATCTGTCCACAGGACATTGCTCCAGATGTTCCGTGGTTTGTTCAGATGCAACATTGCAAACCTGAGCCTTGCTGTCATGCTCTTATTAGACATGGAAGACGTTTTCTTGGCAATCCTTCCAAACAAGACACAGTTGTTCAGCTTTTTTCAGAACTTTACCTTTAACATTCAACACATTAACTGAAGCCTGTAGAGTTCGAGATATAACATTTTGCAGTTTCTCTGAACATCGCATGATCTGACTTTGGAGTGAATTTGTTAGGACATTAACTTCTTCACAGAGTGTGACATTGTGTTTACACACAGTTGAATGCTCCAGAGCAGCAAACCGCCAAAACCGATGCTTTTTCAGAGGTGCTCACATTTGCTGATGATCAATTAACTAAGTACCTTTGATTATCAGCACCTGGCTGCTACTTACCCTCTTAATTTCTTTAGAAACAGTAATGGAGTACTTAGTTTTTACAGGACTACATGGAGTCATGTGAAAAAGTTCCTTTTCCACATGACTGTATATATGGGCCTTTGCATTTATAATCTAAAATGATGCTATCTTTGTTCATTCAGGCACCAGAGTTATGTCTGTCCTCCTTTGTGCCATTTCTCCATTCTTGCCTCTGATGTACCTTGAAAGAGAAACATAATGCTTCCTTACACAATTACAGAGTCAGCACCAGTTTGCTCCGCAACTCCATGTGTTTATCTAGTGGACTGTGTTTTGATCATACTGACAAGTAGGTTAGGAAAAAGTGAGGAGAGAAGCAAGCTGCAAAGTTAACAGCCTGCTTAGTCAACAGTATAGTTTGCTCCTTCCTTTCAAAGCACATCTGACGGAGTCGTGCACCTGAACCTGGTGTCACCAAAACAGATTCCCGAACATCTTTATTTAGACGCTTTGGTGACAAAACAGCATTAAAATTGCTCAAGGTGATACTGCCTTCAATATAATCTCTTAAGCCCAGTCAGAGTGTCTACTCTTAATGTTTTTTATTTTTAAATACCCATTTAATATGATTAACGTTTAAATGCATATTTCTTATGTAAAATGACAAATAAGTCTTATAATTGTTATTATCATTTGGTCTTATAATGGGCGGTATCCTGCTGTTGTCCATCTGCACATAAATGATTCGTATTTCAATGTAAATGTGCGTACACAATTATTTACATTGTGATTTTGTAGATGGATAGATGAAGAAGGGAAAGTACTTTCTTGAGGCATTTCAAGATCAATGTCACCCGCCTCCATTGTGCTGGGAATGAATTAAACATGATTTATTTAGCTGTGAGTCATATGGACACTGGATACCTGACTTGAGTGAGAAGCTTTAACTCCAGCATCAGTTTGCATCTGTTTTTACTACAATTCCTCCTCTAATGTCGCTGCTACCTGATTACGGAGGGCTTTTAGGTGCGTCACACCTGACAGAAGAGCCATTTGTGTTGAGACGCGGATTTACTGCAATCTGATTTAAGTGGCACCTTCAAGGGCATGATGGCGCGTCATGGAAGCTGGGATTTTGACTCTCGGTTTCAAGCTTATTTCCATGAGGAAGAGTGATATAGTGCTGCTGTGCTGATCCATCTGTAAATGTGTCACTTGGAATCTGGAGAATGGGCAGCAGCCATGCATGCATTGGCAGAAATTCGCAGCCTAATTAGTCTGTCTGACTTTCGTGTGTTTTATGGCAAGAAGACTGAAGATGAATGTGAAATACAAAGTGAGGAGTGAGGTTTCTGACTGCGGCATGTGGCATCAAGAAATGAAGATTTAGTAGTAAAACACAAAGACATATTTTACGTATCTGAACATAATTAACATCAGTACTTGCAAAATCCTTTTATTAAACTTGCTTTGTTTTCATCTGTCTCTTTCCTGCCACTGGAGATTAGAAAATGTATCCACTGTGAGTGGCACTTTGAGGACAACCCTGACAAGCTCAGCATGTTTTTTCTTCAAATTATGTGTGTGTCTGTCTGACAACCTGAAAGTACCACTGTTTGTCATTTTGTACAAATTATGGATCCAGAAATGCAGCATCGCTCAAGTACATAATAGGACACTGCTTTGAGCACAGCAACTTAAATGAGGGGTTATCTGAAAGTCTGACGTCAACTGTGCCGTTCCCCTTTGCTGTTCTTTGATCATTTCTATAACCCCACCTACAGATAACAAAAGAAAACTTCTCTGGAATAATAATTCTGTATTAAGCCTGGAGAGTGTAATTCTGGGCAGCATGGTGGTGTAGCACTTAGTACTCTTACCTCACAGCAAGAAGATGCTGAGTTGGAGGTTCTCAGCCTTTCTGTGTGGCGTTTGCATGTTCTCCCACAGACACGTTGGACAGAGATGGTTGTGTGTCATTTAGAGTGTTGGCGGTGGAGCACCTGGGTCCAAAAGTCAAAAAGTCCTTTTCCACTAGCACCTACTTGCTTCGACTCGGCTGACATGGCTCAACTTGACACATCTCAGTTTCTGATGTTTTCCATTACAATTGAGCACCACCAAATATGTGTGCGGTCACTATAGCAATGCAGCTGAAAGACCAGTGACGGTATTTATATAAGACATGAACACCACAACAATGAAGGGTGTAGAGGTGATAGTATGCTTCCTGCTTGGTACCAGGTACTACCACCTAATGCAAAACTCTGAAAACCGAG